CTCAGCCCCTGGTCTGAAAGAAGCTGAAGTGTGAGCTGTGTCAATGAACCAATGAATTCATGCAAGGAACAGCCTACAGCAGAAAGGGAACAGCCTGAGCAGAATCAGGATATGAGGCGGCAAGACCTCCACAGACACCAAACCTCCAGAGACACCCTCCTTCCCTCGTGGCCCTGTCCAGCTTCACGGTGCACCTGGAAGAATGGTGGGCTGTAGGCTGAGCCCCCAGCCAGAAAAACAGGGACCCCATGTGAGCCTGAAATTCCACCCTTTCACGGCCAAGAGGCCACGAGGGCCAAGAAGGACGTGAACACGGAGCAGGTGTTTTCCTGGGCAGACAGAGCCAAAGACAGATTGCAGGGATGCACCAACGAGAGCTACCCAGGGAAGACAGAAGTGCTAAGTGGACGAAGCCCCGAATGTAGGCCTTGTTAATAAAAATCACCTGACACGCTCTGCTTTCTATTCGGAAGGGAAACGTTTCATTATCATTTTGAATCATTTCTTCTGAACACATGAGTTTTGTATTACTCTTTCTGTATATCCCCCCTGCTGCGGGCAGCCCTGCAAGGGAGTCGGGGGGGGGGGACAGGGTGGGCAGTGGGGTGGCCCAGGTCCCAGGCTGGCAACCGGACCTCCAGTCTCCAGGTCCTGAAGGGAGGAGCCTCACTGGCTTCTGAGCAGGGGCTGGGGAGGTGGGGGGGGGGCTGTGGTTCACACTCTCTGCCACCCCCTACCCTCCCCCACCACCCAGGCCGGACAGGCCAGATTGGTGCACACCAGCTACTCCCAAGAAATCACACAGTTAACTGGCCCTGGGTCTGCCTCTCCCATCAGACCCTGAGTATCCAAGGGCAGCAATGCCCTGCTCACCAGCCCTCCCCCTGCACACACTGAGCATCATTACAGTAGGCAACCCCGTGGCGGGATCCCCAGCCCCCAGCCCCAGAGCCCACGTGGCCTGCCCCCCACCAGCTGAGCGACAGGGTGGGCCCCTTCACCCAAGCTGGGCCAGTCGGTCAGTCTAGCACCCCGAGACCGAGGGGGGAGCCCACAGGAGGTCCTGTGGCCTCAAGCTAAAGCCAGCACTCAGGGCCGCCACGCTGACAGCCCAGACAGAGCCAGCCGACAGGGAGAGGAGCAGGGACAGATGCAGCGGGAGAGGCGGAGAAAAATGAAACCACGGTCCAGAAAGCCCAGAAAGCGGCAAGCCGGAGGAGGGGCTGCCCGCCAGCGCCCCGGGGCCTGGGGGAGCCCGCTGCCTGCAACTGTACCAGCTCCCTTTCTCTCCTAACCCCCCTCTCGTTTAACCTAATTGGAGGAGCTTTCCTGTGCCCTGCAAGCAAAGAATCCCGAAGACACGGGTCAGGGCCCTCCCCGCCTTCCTGCTCACCGAGCCCCGCCAGCCCCACCACTCACAGTTTATCGAAGCTCAGGCTCATCGGGGTGAGGCCAGCATGGGTGGGTGGGGAGAGCCGAGCTGGGAAGGCGAGGCACAGCCTGGCTGGGCCCCGGGGAGCCAGAGAGCGTGCGGACTTTGGCTTTGGGCAAACGGGGTGGTGTCAGAGGAAGGCATGGCCCCAACCAAACCCTGGTGATAATGCACATGGTAGCCTGTCTCCCTGGCACACACGGTAGGTGCTTCAGGGATGCACGAAAGGCAAACAGGGAAACCTCGCTAGGCCCTGATTCCCTCATCTGTCAAATGTAGGCGTTGTGACGATAGCCACAAATGAATACATGCATTTAGAGAGCTCGAAACAGCTCCTGGCACAGAGCAAGGGCTTGGGTATGTGTTGTTGTTTTTTTTAAAAAAACCCACACAAAAGCTGCCGTTCTCCCCAAGACCCACTGGGCAGGTGCTATGGTCTAAATGTTCGTGTCCCACCCGCCCCAGATTCATAGGTTGAAACCTAATCCCCAATGCGAAGGTACTGGGCAGGGGGAGCTTTGGGAGGTGATAGGATCACGAGGGAGGAGCCCTCCTGAATGGGATTAGTGCCCTCATAAAAGGGACCCCAGACAGCTCCCAAGTCCCTTCTGCCACGCGGGACTATAAGAAGTCTGCAACCCGGAAGACAGCCTCCCCCTTCCGAGCTGGTGCCCTGATCTTGGACTTCCAGCCTCTAGAACTGTGAGAAATCAATTTCTGTTGGCCGTAAGCCACCCAGTCTGTGCTATTTTGTTCCAGTGGCTCAGACGAGGACAGCAGGGGCCCAGCGGGGTCAGGAATGCCACCCCCCCCAGGGGCATGGAAGTAGAGGTGCGAGAGATGGCATTAAGAGGACCAGGGTCAATCTTCAGGGTGGGAGGGCCGGGGAGGCAAGTGTCTCCCACATCACAGACCAGAGCAGGGGGAGCAGCCCAGGGAGGAGACCGCAGCGAGCGGTGGGATAACAGGCAGGACTGCCCCACAGTGGACAGACAGCTTTGGCGGGGGGGGGGGGGATGAGCCACATGGGTGTGGACGGAGGCTGGACCCAGGGCACCAGCAAAACCAATACCGGGCACTCTCCCTGTCACCGTGCACACACTTCACACACATCCATCCATTCGACTCCCGCAGCAACCCTAGAAGGCAGATACCATAAGCACCCTCATTTTTAATAGGTAGGGAAACTAAGGCAGAGAGGTGCAGTGACTCGTCTGAGGTCACACAGCTAGTAAGTAACAGAGCTGGAACCCCGGCTGTCAGGGGCCAGCATCCAAACCGCCACGGCAAACAGCAAATACTGGAAAGGGACTGGTGCCTCTGTGGGTGGATCCCCTACTTGGGATTCCAAGCTCGGGGACAGAATTCCAGACACCACCTTCGCAGCCTGCGGGGCGCACCTAGAAGCTCGCTGGTGCACACTCGTGTGTGCTGAGCCCCCCCCCCGCCCAGCCTCCCTCTGCCAGGTCCTCTGCCTTTGAAGTTCTGCTCCATCTCTCTCCCGCCTCCACCAGACCCGGAGCCCGTACCCCAACATCTCTCCTGGGCCAGGCACTGCAGACGCCAATGCAGCCTGGGCTCATGGCTCATGGAAGAGGGTGCCGGGGGGGGGGCACCCATCTGCAAAAGTACAAGGGACAGAACAATCCCTTCCCTCAACAGAAGTTCCCCTGCCTTAAAGCCCATACCCCAGTCACCTAACTCCTGTGCTGCTCCTCCTACCCAACAGCCACCAGGCCTCCTTTCTGGACTCCGAGCACTTGCCCATGCGACTTCGCCCGCCCGAAGCCCCCTTTGGCATCCTGGCAGCAAACTGATGCACGGGGTTCTATCAAGCTTCCTGCTCCTCCCCATCTTCCAGGGGTCCCTCCTCTGTTTTCCCAGCTCCCAAAGCACTCATCAAGCGAGCCATCAAGAGCTGCTGGGCTGTGCTCCTTCGGAGCTGCGAGGCCCCCGATCTGTGGACCTGCCCGCCCCTGGCAGTGCTGGACCAGGTGACAGCAGCTGGATGAATGAAGGGCTCATTGTTTACATTACAACTGGTGGGGTGTCTTGCCCCACGTGGCGGTCCCTGCACTCTCCTCCTCCTCTGCCTGCAGCCCTAGGCCAGTGCTACCCCCACTAACCTCCTTGGGCATCTTACACGCATACATTCCCCCCCCCCACCATTGGACTCCTACTTCTCACCCACATGGAAGCGGCGGGGTATCCAAGGTTGGGGATGCGCTGCTGGGTGTGTGACTCTCCCCAAGATGCCCCGTCTGTCCATCCTTCCCGGGGGGGGTGGGGCTGGGGCCTGCGTGGCTCAGTGGGCACCCGCCCCGCCCAGGCCCCGCCTGAAGGGCCCAAACGGGCGCGCCCTGGAGGCCCGGCGAAGCATCTCGGCGGCGAAGGCCCCTCCCTATGGGGAGGGCAGAAAATCTGCTGCCTCACCAGCTACCAGCGCCAGCCTGGGGGGGCACCCCTGCGGGAAGCCGCCCTGCCCCAGTCTCCCCCTCACCCCCTCCACCATGCACTTCAACCAAGTTTTGCAAAAGCAATCGGCCGGGCGACGGCAGCCGGCGGGGCGGAGGCTCCATGTTCTCCCAGAGCCCGGGTCTGGAGCAGGGGGCTGTGTGGCCGCGCCCACCAGGCTGCGCCCCCCTCCCCGCCCCCCACCGCCTGGGAGCCCAGAGAGCCCTGCGGCGCGTCCGGCCGCCCCGCGCTGCCCTTGAGAGCCGGGACGGGCGGCCCCCCCCGCCCAGCAGATGTGCCGAACCCCGGTCTGCGGATGCGGAGGGCGAGGGTGCGGGCGATGCCTTCACCGAGGGGACCCGCAGCCCGGGAAGCCCCCCAACGCCGGCAGCGTCCCCTCCTCGCCTGCGGGCGACGGGGAAGTTGGGGGCGCAGCGGGAGCAGCTCCCGCTCACGCCCACCCACCGGCCCCCGACCCTCCGGCCTCCCCCACGCCCCGACAATGCCTGCGGGCGGCC